GGTTTTACTTTGTTTCTCCCTAGACCTTACGGCTTCACAGCGATATCATATTGAAAGAGCTGTTATCGTACGATCACCGAAGCCGAGCCTGCTGACGGCCGAGGTCAGCGTTCTTATAAATAGTTTTATATACCATTTTAATATAAATATTTTTTTATATATAAATATTTTTATATACAATTTTAATATCCCTCTCTTTTACAATTTTGCGAAACCCTTGAAATACTTTTTATGCCTCAGGGAACCCCTGCATAAATATCTTTATATAGCATTTTAATATCTATCTCTTACAATTTTATAGTAGTTTCCGTGGTAAACATAATGTATAGACATCGACCATGCGTCTTGTACTCGAGTGAGTCACTCAATCCGCCACGTACAGCATCTGTCTACTAAACAGTGAAGGCGGTTTTACTCTAACGCCATATAAACATCTCTAAATACATGCCGTATAATTGTTATAATTTTAAATAATATAAGAATTTTAAGGCTTTATTGTAATAACCAAGGATTTTCCAACTATATGCCTTAGGTGAGCAGTAAAATTACGAATAAAAAATTGAACAAAAATTACTCAAAATACATTAGCCTATTTATCACTGTTTGTCGGGGAACCCCCAAATTCCTCTTACAGAACCTTAGGGTTCCGGGAAACACCGATTGAGAAACACTGGCCTAGATAGATAACCGTTTGTGAACAACGGGTGCTGTAATGCAAGTGGTATCATGGATAACGGCTCGGAATTGGAAATCGGAAAATCTAGTTTCAATTCTGGATAGGTTCGTCTTATTCACTCACGCACAAATATGCTTGGAAAAGGTATGCACCAGTCTCATCTCCCCATCAATTATGGGTTAATTAATAGGTCTATTAGTAAATTATTATTCCTTCCAAAAGATTCTTACAACCAAAAACTAAATTTTCTTGTTTTAAATGACATTCAGACGGTTGATATGCCGCTTCAGGGGAGGTAACTAAGTACTATTTGTAGAGAGATTCTAAGAAATAAGTCGTAAAAACGATTACTTCAAACCTTCATATTTTAAACTATCTACTGTGCACATTTTAAAACATTTGTGCAGTATTCATAATTAATTTTATTAAGGTTTTATTTCATTTTTTTTAATATAGAGAGCTTCGGGGATTTTTAGTTTATGTTTATTATTTTCGTGAAAAAGTATAGAAGTATTTTCAACAAGAATTTTTTTGAATTGCGAATGTGGGCAGGTATGCTTTTGTAAATGTTTAGAAATGTTGGACATAGCATTCAAATGAAAACTCAACCGCCGAGACAACGTTGTCGTAGTATGTCCAACATGAATACTATTCTTACCGTTGTATATATATATATATATATATATATATATATAAAGAGAGAGAGAGAGTGAGAGAGAAAGGGATGGGGGAGGAAGAGAGAGATTTGTATTGCATTTATGGTATGACATAAATGCAAAATCAGACTCTTTTCAAGCGTTAAGTTTGGGAATTGATTTCTTTTAGTTAATCTAGTCCTTCTTTCTCCATGTTATGGTGCTAGTAGATCAGAGATGCACTAATCTTGGGATTGTGACATCGAAAATCTGAAGACACACAAAAGATAGAATAACAAAAGATGCCTTCACAAAGCTCAACAAAGTAACAAGAAACAGTGAAATATCATTGGAAACAAAGAAAAAGGTGATGAACTTCTATATAATATAAACCCTCGTATATGGTGGTGGATTTCCTCTCTGTATAGAAGACAAAAATTTGGTTCTAGAGAAGTATACTGAAAAATAATATGAAAGAAGCAGGCAAGCAACGAGGAACTTTCAGTGAAAATGGGAAGAAAATGAGACAGTCGGAACAAGACAGCTGTTATTTGTAGGGTAAATATTGAGGAAAGAAGGCTTGGAAAATGAGACATTCACAAGACTTAGTGAATGCAAGAGGGAGAGACAAAAAACAGCGAGTATCCTCCGTAACGAACTCGTGTAAATGAAAGATAAAACAGAGAATTGAAGGAATTGTAGAAAAATGAAAAACATTGCTATGCGCTACAAAGGATGGGAGATAGGGAAGAGCCATAACCGCCGACGTTCTGAAGGAAAACGGTAAATAGAAGAAGATATTATGGGGCAAGGGGAGTTGAGAAAACCACGATATTTTTCTCCCTTTCCAAGCATTTTATTTCTTTAAACGGAGCATTTCTGCCTAAATATGTTGATATATATATATTGATTTCAAAACGCAGCTTCCGTGTGGCACAAGGCCGAACGATATATATATATATATATATATACATATATATATATATATTTAAACTACAATCGTCCATGATTTTCTCTCGTACATTCATATCTGCTCGATGCGTATCCAAATGTAAACAAATGACGTCAGACATTATGAAATGAACAAAGTCCGACAATTATTTTAAGACATATTTATGTTTATACATTCTTTTTTTTATAGATACAAATATTTTAGCAAATGCTCTATTTATAATAAACTGTATTAACAACATTTACCGGCCTGAATGTCCGAGAAATTTTCGTAAAAATATTCGTCCTCTGACAGGAATCGAACTTGTATCCTATAAATGATGTTAATACTGTTTATAATAAACAGAGCATTTACTTTGTAAATCAAATTCTACCAGTATAAAATGTTACTTTTATTTGCATAGTCTCTATGCAAATAAAAGGAGCATTTTATACTTTCATTGCCGTTGACTGAAGGTCAAAGTTTGCATGTCTCCCTGCAAGAACAACAACAGAGTGACCATCATATGCAAATTTAGAAGTGACCACTAAACAGCGAAAGTCGAAACAACTTTGTCTACACAGCAATGGACAATAAAACAGGACTTTTAAGAATAAAAATAGCATACTCCTTGTTTTTACCCTTTTTTTTTTTTACGTGGTTTGTCAATAAATACTGTTTCGTAATTTTCCTCTCTAGCCGACTTTACCCTGAAGATCCGTTTAGGTGAAACCTAGGTAGGTTTGCCTGGCTCCTTGGCATTACTTTAGGTTATCGCTCTGCTTAGTGTATTGAGCACTTTACGTAGTTGTCTTTTTACTCGTTCTGTTCTGGACTTGGAGCTTAAACACTTGAAGATTGTTTTCGCCTTGTTTTAATGTTCTTGGTTCTTTTTTTTTATTTCACATTTTTCCTCGGGTACCGATTTGTTCTACTGCAAGTTGAGCTACTCAAAGGTTTTTCCAAGCGGGTACCACCATTTTATATATATATATATATATATATATATATATATATATATATATATGTATCAATTCAACATGACAAAGACGATGTACATAAGAACAAGATTTATCCAAACAGATAACTGAAAGTTTTATAAGATCAGCGCTCCGTTTAAAAATGGTCACGTAGTTATGTTGAATTGATAATGTTAATTATATTTTATGAATATGTCCTGAAGATGGTTTATTAGACCGAAACGTCCGACGTTGACTTATTAACATTAAAACAGCATAATTGCATATAAGGATTTTTGTTTGTTTTTTCCGTATATATTTTTCTTCATACTGTCGGATTTATATCCATATATTTGCTTTATATATATATATATATATATATATATATATATATATATATATATATATATATGTGTGTGTGTGTGTGTGTGTGTGTGTGTACGTGTGTGTGTTAATCCGATTTCAGATGTTTTTCTCATTCAGCGTTTGTCGCTTTATCGTGCTGTCATAGATTATCAACTGATCCATCGGTTATTGCGTTTGCTCAAACAGCAAATGACACGTCACCCTTTTCAATCTTCATATTTAAACGCCTATCGTTTTCATTTCTTCGTTGAAGCGATGACAACAAAAAAAAAAAAGAAAAGAAAGGAAAAGACAGATGCAGGCAAATTTTTCCACCTGAGGAGAAAATGATCCTCGTGTCATTTTCGAATTGAAGATAAGCTTTTCGCGTGACATTTCTTATTATTTTTCCAGTATTACCGTTGCAGGAACCTTCCAGATTTCTTTCAAGAGAAACACCCGCCTTAGCACATACGTACATGTATATAAAATCGAAATGAACATTTCTTCACTTTTCTTATGATTCATAGGAGTCGAACGCTTGCGAACAATATGGATTTGAGCTATTTTATTCACCAACAACAACTGAATTTGCAAAGTGTTATTCTCATTATAGAGACGATCCATAAATTGAATAGTCATAAAATGTCTGTTCTTTTTAATGTTTACTGAAATGTACGGGGTGATTAAAAAATACATCCATATTTTATGAATGAGTATCCAGCCAGAAGACCTGACTTAATACCCTGTGACATTTTTTGGGGGGGTTGGTTAAAAGGAGCATGTCTACTATACCAAACCAAGATTTGGAAGAACCTGAAGGGTGAATACAAGAAGTTATGTTTTCCATACCACAAGAGCTCATGTTGAAATCAGTTGACACGAATCCTGGGCGGCTCGAGAAGCTGATAGCGAAATCTGGTGAGAATATCGAATTTTAAATAAGACCTCATACTAAACGCTTTCCTCTCATATCCATTTCTTGTAAAAAATTATAGTTAATAAATAAATTATATGCATTTTAAGATCACCCTGTATATTATTACATCTCTATGCGTGTTACCTGAAAAACAGTGACCCTTCCAATAAGTACACATCAATATGCTGTCAGAAAAAAATTAAGAACGTTATTATCAAAAATTATAAAATGATAAAAATATTTCTCTTAGAAATAAAACTATATTCCTCATAAGTGGCATTATTTTTTAGCAATTCATCAATAGCTTAACTTGATGATCCAAATTACTCCGGAACTACTATGCAAATTGTTATTATAGTATCATTCTCATAGTATTAGAAGTAGTATTATAGTAGTAATGTATAATATTATAGTAGTGTGATTATTTATTTCTGTTAAACACTATGCCCTATCGTGATATTAGAGATCATGACCATTATTCAATGTATTTTTGATCGTTTACCGTTCAATTTTGTCCTTCGTCTGCCATCTAAGCTTACGGTCACATCATGTTGAATGTCCGGTTCCCGTACCATCACCGAGGTTAAGCAACGTCGAGCCTGGTCAGTACCTAGATGGGTGACCGCTTGTATAATACTAGGTGCTGTAAGCTTCGATGTGCGTGTGGCATAATGGATAATGGCTCGGTATTATTAGTCGGAGAGCAGAGTTCCAGTTCCCGTTGCGAATACCCTTGCGGAAGGCATGCATTAATCTCTTCTCCCCAAAGGGTTAATTAGTAAGATTTGTATCATTAAACCACTATTATATCAAACAAAAATTCTTATAGTCTAAAAATATTATCTGGATTTAAATAACGGGCAAAGGGAGATAATGACCTAAACATCAATTAATCAAGGGAGACAATTATTAAGTTTCTATATTTAAGTCGAAAGGCATTTACTCAGTTCGGGCTTGCGAAATATTGTTGAGCCTATAAATATTTACTTACTTCGGGGATAGCAAGTAAATCTTTGCAGGCTTGTAAATACTGGTCACATATTTGGTTCTAAATTAGATTATATTTCGGTCTAACCGACAAATTCTGTTTATTTAATTATTTTTTGATGGCTTAATCTTCGAATAATGTCTTCTACATTGGAATCAGAATTGGAAATAAATTATCCGAGCTCTATATGTCATAGTTCTTTGTTCGATTATTAACAAATATAAAGGAAGTTATTATCCCAAAATAGGCTTGCGTAGGAGCGTCGCTCTTTTTAAAATTTCAGCTAGCAGTTGCCAGTCTTGGTCACTACTTAATTTGAGTAAAAACAGTACAAAGAAGTTCGAAAGGCTTAGGAATTTAAATCAAGGATTTTTTTTTTTTTTGAAAAAAATAAACAAATTAAAATTTATTGAAACAAAAAAAATTACAGTTGACCACTGATGACAATTCCAGAACAACGTAACAATAAACAATTTTTTTCTAACCTCTGCTAGTCGTAATGATGGAGAAAGCATTACCTCGAACCATCGCCAGTGAGACACGCTGCAAGAGCCACCTCCTTTTCGCGAGGCTCGTCCCTTAATCGAGACGCAATCGCACCAATCCTCCGAAGGGACGCCATCGAACGAGGTCCAATAACCCCTGAAGTCTCCACTGCCACAGGAGTAAAAAAAAAATTCGGTCTATAAGCATTTATTCAGAAAGATGGAGGTAATTATCAATCATCTATATTTGAGTCGATGGATATTTCGCTCTGGGAAACGTAATATTGGTCGTTTATATTTGAGTCCGTACACATATACTCGCTTCGCAGATAGGTAAATATTGGTCTTTTATCTGTAAGCATTTACTTAGTAGGTGTCCCCGGGTTTTATGGGATTTTATTCCTTTACAGTTGATGCAGTCGGCGTATTATGGTTTCGCTACCCAGGGCATTCATGATGTCAGATAGGTTCAACCTATTACATACTTAAAACCGGGACAAGCGCAACGATCTCGTGAGCCCCCACAGTATCTATAATATGGGGAGGACGAATTTATAATACACGGATCCTATTCTATTACATCTCAATTTTCATAAAATAGTATCATATAAAATGCAAATTTTATTGTAACCTAATTATGTACAATAATGGATCATATGCAATATAGGTGGGCAATTCAACTAGAAAAATTGAAAATAAATTCAATGTATCAAAATACAAATTAGAGACATGTCATAATAGATCATTCCATCTTAAATTAGAGACATGTCATAATAGATTATACCGTCTTAAATAAATCAATAATGTTTTGTGACAATTGTCACAAAACGTTGTTGATTTAACCTCAGCTTAAGACTTTTCTTGTTAAAAAGTTGAATAATTTTAACACGTTCAATAATAGGGATAAAAAAAAAGAAATGGTGAATTTTATATAGTGCTTTTTTTTTCCGAAAATTATCCTGGGAAGATTAAATTCACAGATTTGGACAGATAAAAGCAAAACACATAATTACATGGAAATCATCATTTTCATCAACAAATCAAGCGGGTAATTGGGGGGGGTAATTGGGGGGGTAATTGGGGGTGTAATTGGTGGGTAGTATTAGGTTGGTGCAAAAATAATGTCTCGTTTTTTGATTTGAAGTTAAACATCAAAAACGACATTATTTTTGCACCAACCTAATAGTTACTTAAGACTACGCTCTATGAAATAATGTTGATATCTGTAAATGCCGTAAATGCCAATCATTATTACTAACCCCTAAGGCTAATCTCTCCTCAACCATTGCTCTGATGAAGAATTTTTTTTTTTTTAAATATTTCGATGACTTTTCCGTAGCTTTAATTTATATTACCTTCATTCAAGATGCGTTTTCGTTTATTAACTTAACTAGATTGATCTCGGTTAACACTTTTCAGTTACTTGAAGTGTCGACTTGAACATCACACCTTGAGACTTTCGCCGGCTTTTTCATTTTGTTTTCCATTGAATTCCAAGCGTTTACCAAGTTCTATGCTTGTCATAGAAATGCATTATTGCCTGCATCGAATTTCTAATCTTTCGATGAACATGGGCTTTGCGAAATCCGCTTAATCAAGTTAATATTATAGAATTACTGATTTCGTTAATCTGATAAAACGAACTGAAATTCGTCTCTGCGTGTATTTACTTCCGCTTTAAGAAATCAGCGAGCATATTCTCATTCGGGAAAATAACGAAAAGTTTATATCAATATAATATTATTCACTCCCGGATGTGGTTGACGCGTATTTCTTTGCCGCTGACCTTGATCGGGGTTCGAAGCGAGACAAAATCCATAGTTAAAAATGTTGTAACAAATGTAGTTACTGTGGCAGTGGAGACTTCAGAGGTTATTAGCACTCGCTCGATGGTGTTCCTTCGAAGAATTGGCGCGATGGCGTCTCGATTAAGGGACGAACCTTGCGAAACGGAGTGGCTCTTGCTGCGTGTCTCACTGGCGATAGCCGAGGTAATGCTTCCTCCATCATTGCGGCTGGCAGAGGATAGCAAAAAATTTTTTAAAAAAAATTTGTTTAGAAAAAATTAATAAATGAGAAAAGGATAAAATATTGATTTTCAAGGTAGGCATTTTTATATACTAAATACTAAAGAGCATTCAATAAAAGGCTTGAGGACCAATCAAGGTCGATCGTTACTGATAAAATGGTTATGGTGAATGAGCTCAGTTATGAATGAAATACTCGGTATTAAATTATGGTTTTCCTTTGGTTCAATTATTATGGGTCTATACGAAGAGGAATAGAATATCGGTAAAGGTGGGGGGGATAAAAACGGGAAAAAGAAATGAAAGAGTGAGCAAAGGGGAAGAGAAAGATTAATCGAAGAAAATAAGATTTGTTTTTGTTTATATTGTTTTACGGCATATAAACACCTCAATGGGTTATTGAATGCCAACAAGATTTTTAGGATAGAATATCTATTCTTTGTAAGAAATCTGTTTCTAGATCGATCAGGTTTCATTGACGTATTTTTGAAAAGATGATTTTTGTCGAGCATCAAATGTTTTACTGGTAATATATATATATATATATATATATATTATTATTATTATTATTATTATTATTATTATTATTACTGGAATTTTTTCCAATGTATTGCTGGTATTTTTACTATAAAAATCTATTTTTATAATTTTATAGTGTTTAGGGCTTAACTATTTGCACATAGCTAGGACGCTAACATGTGCTATCAGCCCAGGAAATATTTATTCTGAGGATAAATTTGATTGACAACGACTGATTCTTAACTTGAAGAGGTTAACATTGTAGTCTTTGGGAAAGCACTCACGCGGTAGCCTGTTCCACAACAGAGTAGTTCTCGGGCAAAGACTGTGAGATGGGAACTTTCTCCTTATATCTGAAATACGGAGGAAATGAGTGTGATTCGGCTCCGTGGAAGTAAGTTAACGTAAATTTGTAGTAAAGTTATTAATTAGTGGAACTAAAGAATGGAGCTCATCTGAACATTTGCCATGGAAATGACATTGCATCTGAGAGAATGAACCTATCAAATGGAGAACAGGTATTGCCCCAGACAGCCGCTTAAACTACTTTGCAGCTTATCAAACCTGGAGAGAGGAGATTAGGTAAATCCGGCTCAAATATGGCAACAATACTCTATTTTGAGTCGACATATTGAGCGATGGTTCTTATATCGATGACTCCCACATAAGATCTGGATTGAATTTGAGACACAACAGACGTTCAAAACATGTAGTATCACTGAGAGTGCCGTCATGACCTGAGAAAAATCAGGGCCGAATCAGTGATGACGAAATGATACTAGCTTAATTTTGTGGGTATCGAAAGTCACAAGCCAGTCTTTAGCACATGGTTAGATCAGGGAATACATGAGCCGCAAGGCTCGGGACTTTGAAAGTGCGTTCATACACTGTGTCACCATCTGCATAGCTATGTACAAATCATCTGAGAATATTTCTAGGCAGATCTTTTATAAAAAACGGAAACAAGGTAACCTGGGGCCTTATAATGTGTCAAAAGTTTGGTCGAAAAGCGCCCTGTGCTTGTCAATAGGAAAAATGTCATCTCCTCTATGATGATACAAGGGATAATGACGCAGGATGAAAATTTGGAACCCGTTTAGTCAAATCCACTATATTTACCTGACACCTTCCTGACGCCATAGATTCCCAAGTTGGTATCTACGCGGACGACACTACAATTTACTCCTGCCTCAAAAACAAATCTAGTGTCGGTGACAAAACTAACCTGGCCGTGCGTCTTGAAATGGACCTCCAATCGGTTGTTAATTGGGGCAAGAATTGGCTGGTTAACTTTAACGCCTCAAAAACTAAATTACTCTCTAATAATCACCATAGAGATCCTTCCCTGCCCACCATTAGAATGTCTGATAGTCAACTTCTTGAGAGCAACTCCCTGCGTCTGCTCGGTCTCACGTTGACTGCTGACCTGAGATAGAACAAATACATTGAGTCAATTGCTTCTTCCACCGCGAGGAAAGTTGGCTCTCTGTGCCGCGCCAGGAAATTTTTCTCCCCGGAATCGATACTTCAAATATACAAATTAACCATTCGCCCTTGCATGGAGTATTGCTGCCATATATGGTCTGGGGCACCTTCTGTTTACCTCAAAGTTCTTGACAAGATCCAGAGAC